GCCGCCTGACAAATATGCCTACTAAAGGGAATTGCTGCAAGACTCTCCCCTGCTGTCTTCAGCTGCCTGTAGATCATCGGTGGTGGTGGAGGAGGAGCCCGAGTGGGCTGTCGGTGAAAATAACTGGCAGACATCTGTAATTGGTGTAATTATAAGGATCGGGTTACCGGCCGGGCGTAATGTCTGGGACATCTTTGCAATTCTATTTTCCCGGGTATAAAAATACTCCAAGATGCTGTGCTGGGTCTGCATTACACGTGAACACTGAGGAAGAGTGGAGCACAGTCAGTGGCGTCACAAGGGGGGTGCAGCCCGCACCCGAGTGCCACCATTGGAGGGGTGACACCAAAATGACTGACAGTCATTTTACGACAGTGTAAGTAGAGGAGGGGACCCGGCGGCATACCTTATCCTGCCGGCTGAACGTCCCCTCCTCTCTCTGCCGGCGTCCATCACCAAGATGGCCACCGGCAGGCGTCAATAAGACCACGGGCGATGAAGTCATTGCTCGCGCAGCAACGTCACGCACATGCGCGATGACAGCACGGTGGGGTGTCACCCGGTCTCCGCCCCTGGGCGACACCCAGCCTCAGGACGCCCCTGAGCACAGTCAATGTTCAGACTCGGAACAAGGTGCAAATGCACCAGTGCAACAAGCAGGCCCGAAAAATCAGAAAAAACAGTGACTGCAGCCAATTAAAATACAACAGCATGGATTGGGGGGGGGGGTTTCTCCTTTGGTTAAGAATTAGTGTATGGCTATGAGCTATGACTAAGGCCTAGTAAGGCAGAAATGCTTCAGCGGTTGTTCTTTGTCAAGCTGCATAAAGTTTTATTTCTTTGGAAGATCGTGTGCTGGTTCTACAGTTTAGGAGTGTATGTTTAGCCTTACAGGTTTTGTCCTCCCCCCACCCTGTGATTACACAGTAAAAGAAGAAGCAGCACACTGATGAGCTCATCTCTCTGTCACTCTGCTGTCTCCTCCTATTAGCAATTCCCTTGTTCACATAGGAGCACTGTGAATGGCTCCTAGTGCTGATTCTCCCTACCCAATCTGAGCTCTGCTGTACAAGGACTGCAAGAGGTTGATACCAGGTCCAGTTCAGGTACCTAAACTACTTGCATGTAAAAAAAACAACTTACATTTAACGATGGAATAATAAATACAGAGCTGCGTTAAATTGGTTCTTTTAAATCTGCTCGGCGTTCAGCTTTGTGCTTTTGTCGGTGCCATCAGTGCGATACATTCCCGAGATGAGCCAGAATTCATTGGCAGGAACCTTGGACATGCAGCTGACCTGCTTCAAGCGGATTTACTATTCCCATAGTCTTGTAGGGGGATAGCAAAACCCGCTTGAAGCTAACCAAAGCCCATCGGCACGGGCCCTTTAAGCGAAACAAATGTGCAGAAGTGGAATAATGAAATAAGTATCTGAAGACAGACGATGGCTTCCTTTTATGTTTTAAAGCATATTTGTAATATTTAATTATACATATAAAAAAGGCAATGTGCAAGATTACAGACGCCAGTCTGTCTGTGGACTGTTACTGAACGCCAGTGAGTCACCAAGCAAAACCTCTTCAGTTCAGACTACACACGGTCTGGAAAACAATAGACTGGCGTAACAAAGGCCATGGCGGCCCACTGCTATGGGGCCTGGGGGTGGTGAGGGGCCCCCATCAGGGGGGCTGTTAAGGCAATTTAAAGCTGGACTGCTCGTTTTTGTCTAGGTTATAACAAACTTATACTCACCAGATCCTTGGAGCCCGCCAGCTCTTAGACCGGCCCCTTCTGCCTTGCTCCCCCTCTGCTACAGTGGACTAAGGATCCTCGAGTCGTAACGTTCTATACAGAGTGTATGGAATGTGAGGACACCGAGGGAAATACCATTTCCGCAGCAGAGGAGGAGACAGGCTGGAGGGAGCACTGTGACAGCCAGCCAGATCCGAGGATCGGGTGAGTATAACTTTGTTATTTTTGACCCTAGGCAAAAACGAGCACTTAACCCTTGCAGTGAGGGGGAAGCTCCACTGCAAGGGTTAAGACTTTTTTCTCCTGGAGTTCTTAAAGGAGAACTATGGGGTCAGTGTTTTTCCCCATAGTTCTCCGTAGGGTAACGGGAGGACACAAACTAAGGTGAGTGAAAAGCACCCCCCCCTCATAGTTCTCCTTTAAGCAAAGAAAATTGGTGTGCATGTAACGAGGATGCATCTTCATCATTGTATCATTAAGGATTGCAGAGGTTACTGTTGGAAATGACCCTGTACCCCCTGTGACATTTCCAAACAAGAAGTGTCAGACATGCAGGAGACTTCAGAATCATTGGATGTAGTCTCAAATCTCCTTTGCAGGCAGGGCAGTAAAGGGAGTAGGTTTAGCTCCCTTAGCGTATATTTATGACCCTGAGAGCTTCTAGTCATCCCGGCCAGCACTGAAACTAATGCCTAACACAGTCTTCCTCGGGGATGCACAGATACTTTTCGAGTACCAGTGCCGATACTTGCATTTTCATGAGAACTACCAGGGTTGCAGAGGTTGCAGCTGGGATCTGGCTCTGGCGCTCCACCACTGTCCTGAAATCATTACTCTGTATTGTTTTAGGAAAACTGTCACATGACACTAAACAAAAACGTATCAGTACTTGTATCTGTGAGTACTTGGAGAAGTATCAGTACTTGTATCTGTGAGTACTTGGAGAAGTATCAGTACTCATACTTTGAAAACTGGTATCGGTGCATCCCTAATATATATTTATAAAAACAAAATCATACAATAAAACAGAGATGTACAAATCCCAGGAGCTCCGTGTGCTCCTTACAAGTGACAGCCGCCTCCTAACTTTAGAATGTTTCTCTAGTCTAGTCCTGGGGCTGGAAAAGTATCTGTACTTGTACCGAGTATGGTACTTGGTATAGGTACATTCCTAGTAAAAATGCCTCCTCACTGTCTCCTGTAAAAACAAACAGCTGTCTGTAGTTCTGCAATCCCTTTCCTCCAATGTGTTTGCGTTCGGGGTATAGAGTATTCATGGGCAGAAGTACAAACAATGAAGTCATTATACATAATATTGTGATGGTCATTATTATTGAGACTACAACACTTGCATTCCTTTTTCGTTTTACGACTACAACACCACCACCCTCAACAGTTGCTTGCTGCGGCATTGGGCTTAGAACTTACAAGGAGGCCCTGAGGTCCGAGATGCTGATAAAGACTGGGGGGGAGGACTGAGGACTGAGCGGAGAGCTGGAAATTTCATGTTGAATGTGAATTTTAGGGATGCACCGATACTAGTATCGGTATAGTTGCCGAGTATTTGGGTGCGTACTCATACTCGCCCAAATGCTCTGATGCCTAGCCCGATACCCAAACTTCCGGTACCAGGAAGCCGGGCAGTGAGTTACCCGGCTTCCTGATAGGCCAGGAAGCCGGCTCCATGCTTCCTCGTCACTTCGTGACGAGGGAGCAGAGTCGGCTTCCCGGCCAATCAGGAAGCCGGGCAGGCAGTCATTACAAGCTGCCCGGCTTCCTGATTGGTCAGGAAAATGGCCAATGAGGAAGCCGGACAGCGATTCATTACCTGCCCCCCGGCTTCTTGATTGGCCAGAAAACCAGCTTCACGCTCCCTCGTCACCAGGTGATGAGAAACATGAAGACGGCGTTCCTGCTAATCAGGAAACTGGGTGGCGAATCATTACACACCGCCTTCCGGTCCAGTGGGACTTCCGGTATTCGGTATCGGCGAGTACCGTAAAAAAATATTGGTACTCATACTCGATACCGAAAAAAACGGTATTGGTGCATCCCTAGTGAATTTCCTTCACTGATGCCCCCCTCTTCCCTGACAACCTCTTTACTAATGTACTAACAATGCTGTCAGCTCTCCCTGTTCTTGATTTACACATACTTTATCTTCAAAG